TCATGTTTTCAAGTTTAGAATTCAATAGGGTTACCTCATCTTGAAGATCAGAGACAGTAGATAAAAGATTCACTTTTTCAGCCTGCAGTTAAGCTATGATTCTCTTATATGTTTCTCCTATCTTACACACCTCTTCACTTTTGACAAAAATCTCTCTATATGAAATAGCTAATTCTTTATAAGGGATATTCTGATCATAGGAATCTTCATCAGATTCATATCTGCCAGTGAGGGTTGCAACATGCGTAGCAGTTTCAACATCATCTTCACTTTCAGAATCATCATCAGACCCAAAAATAGATATGACCTTCTTTTGTTTCTTGAGGTAAGTGGGACATTATGATCTAATGTGACCAAAACCCTCACATTCATGACACTGACTACCTTTTCCTTTATTAGACTTCTACTTTGTTCTTGCTTTTCCCTGAAAATCACTGCTATTTCTGATGTCGAATGACATGTTATTGACATCTGGTCTTGACTTCATATCCATACTCTTCAGCACCTTATTGAATTGCCTCCCAAGAAACACAATATCATTAGAAATTCCTTCATCAGTCTCCATGTCACATTGAACCTTTTCATCATTAGTTTAGAGATAAAAGCTATGCTTTTGTTCTTCTTTTCAGATTTTTCATTAATAACTAATTCAAAAGTTTGAAGTGACCCAACAAGATCATCCAATTTCATGTTGCTGATGTCTTGAGCTTCTTCAATCACTGTGACCTTCATGTCAAATTTCATAGGCAATGACCTACGAATTTTTCTAACTAGCTTCTCCTCTGACATCTTCTCTCCCAAGGAATTAGATGTATTGGCAACATCAAGAATATTCATGTGAAAATCATGAATGGACTCATCATCTTTCATTATAAGATTCTCAAATTTGGTGGTGGGATGTTGAAGTCTTGACTTATTTACTTTTGATGTGCCTTCATGAGTGATTCTAAGGATTTCCCATGCATCTTTGGCCACAGTACAAGTATTAATCAGCCTAAAAATATTTGCATCAACTCCATTTAATATGACATTAAAGGCTTTAGAGTTTCCAAGAGCAAGATCATCTTCTTCCTTAGACCAGTCCTCTTCTGGCTTCAATTCAGTTATGTCCTTCTCATTTTTGCCCTTCACAATAGGGTGTTCCCAACCTTAGGCAACTGCTTTCTAGGTTTTTCTATCCATAGATTTTAGAAAAGTCACCATACCCGCCTTCCAGAGATCATAGTCGGTGCCATCCAAAATAGGTGGTCTGTTGACAAATCCTAGTTCCATGTCTCTACTACCAGAAAGTATCTCCCCGAATCTCACCCAAAATAGAAATGAGTGTCTGCTCTGATGCCAATTAAAATTCTGGCACATAACGGACATATATCGAATATGATGTCAGGATGTCGTAATAGCAGAATTAACACAAGAACAAATTGCAGGAATTTAAATAACATACAGTAGTTATTAACCCAGTTCGGTGCAACGTCACCTACGTCTGGGAGCTACCAAGCCAGGAAGGAAATTCACTATGAAAATATTAGTTCAAAGCTAAACTCTCCCATTTAGAACTTCTCGCCTAATCACTACCTTGTGCAACTTCTACCTAGAACCCTTTAAATATGAGATCCTCCTCTCACTTCCTAATCAGTCACAATCCTAGTGACAATAAACAATTCCAAACAATAGAAGTATCAAGACAATACTTGATCTTTCTTAAACGCTTCAATAAAGAACAATACACTCTTGCTTAAACGCTTTAGGACGAACAACAAATAATGAACAATCAGTCAACCTCAATGGGTTAAAAGATACATGGGTGACATATAATTAACAAACAGAAAACCCTAAAGACCAACCAAAATAACGAATAATTCTTATTACACAAATTTCTCACAATATGCTCTCTTACTCCAATAGGTTTTTCTTCACTTTAAATAGCCTTCAGACCTACTAGACTTGAGCTTACTGAGGGGCACAAATAGCACCAATCAGTATAAACTGGTTGTAAATCAACTTGCATAATAATAGGAGAAAAATACAAAATTTCCTAAAAAGGCTCAAGGATCATTTTTATGAAAAGTAACCGAATCTGCAATAATAGAAATTCCCACAATTACTCCCAAAAATTCGCCCATGTGTGCATCATAACACACTCAAAAATCACACTAAAATTACCAATATAGTCATGCCCTAACTATCTGATATAACATGTCCTGGAATATGTCACAACATCATGTAGAACATGATTTCTGACTTACATGGCAGAACATCTGGTTCAACATCTTGCTAACAGCATGTTGTTTTACCAAAATGTAGCCAATCCAAAAACCATAAGACTTACATTTTTCTTCTCCAATTCTTTATGTGCAACCTTTTCTTGATCTGTCGCATTTTCTGCAAGCGATGTTACTCCTCCCTTCACAAGATCCCAAAGATCTTGATAATAGAAAACCATCTTAATCTGCTTGCACCAATTCTCATAATTATCTTTCTTGAAAATTGGAAGAATCGTCTGCTTGCACCATCACGGTTTTGCTTCCTTGAATCACAATCGGAGCTCCGATACCAGATGTTAGAATTCAACCATAACCTATGGAGAATCCACTCAATCTTGATCTCAAAATTGTTATCAATCACACAATGACAATGAAAAGAAAATATTGAGAAAAAAAGAAAATAACGTTGGAGAAGAAGATAAATATTTTCTGCAGAGTTTCTCTCTGCCCATAAACTATGAAAACTTCTTTATTCACTTGCAATTGCAAATTCTGTGAATACGGTTATGAGTTTTTTTTTTTACAAAATAAGGGTTGCTCCCTATTTATAGATTTAGGTTAGCTTGCACACCAAGCCAAAGCCTAAAACTATAAAAGCTCAAAATAATTAACATTACTAAAATAAGCCTAAGTTGAAATTCTGTGTGAAGCAACCTGCTTCGACACTTCGACACACTAATACAACTCGACACACACACATATTAGATTAGTTCGACTAGATCTTATTTTTGTCGAGATACACTACTTCGACACAAGGAATTACAAACTCAACATAGAAGAGAAAGAAAGGTTTGGGAGAAGCAACTTGTAAGTTGTGTGGTTGCATGAGTGAATTTATCATGCATGTGTTTAGGGACTTCCCGAAAGCCATACATTTATGGATGAATAGAGTGCCTAGTCATATCGCTGTTGAGTTTTATTGCTTGGAGCTAGCAGATTGGATTAAGCTGGACATTAATGGACATTAATGCTTTGGATGATGGGAGAAACACGTGGAATATGTTTTGGGCCATTTAGTGTCATTATCTTTGGAGGTGGTGAAACAATGAAGAACACAATAATTCATATGAGAGACCGCATAATCTAGGAAGCTTGTGACACAGTTGATGAATGAGTATGACAATGCTATCATTAACAAGAAAGTAGCAGTTGGTGGAGAAGAACTAACCATAATGTAAGTTGGAAACCCCCTAATAACAACTGGTTTAAGTTAAACACAGACGGGGCCAGTAAGGCAAACAAGTATGTCGGTTGTGGAGGAATCATTCAAGACTCTCATGAAAGGTGCAACTGTGGTTTTTTGAAGCCTATAAGATTATTCGACGCAATTAAGGTTGAACATTGGGGCATTCTTAAAGGGTTGAGGTTAACGAAGAGATTATGATTGAGGTGTATAGCGATTAATGTAGATTCTACATTGGTTCTCAAAATGGTACAGGAAAGACATGACAATGGCGATTTGCTTTGATTAAGCAAATTCACAAAGTAATTAAGTGGCATGATGAAATGAAAGTGACGTATACACAAATAAGTGTGCGAATGTATCCACAAATGAAGAAAAAATGAGTCAAAAAGAAGTATATTTCCTTGAAGAAATTCTAGATTGTATTAGAATGCAGTTTGATGATGATGAAAGGGGATTTTAACTCATAAACAAGACATACTGTAATTTTAGGCCTTAATCCTCTTACTTAACAACAACAAAAAAGATTCAATTTTGGTAATGTAGTAACGGATAAATGAATATCTTTTAAACATGACATGAACATTTGTATTGTTCATCATCACCTTAATCAATTAAAGAAAAGAACGAGAGACCAAATCTAAAACAAACTAAAAATTGAAAAATTAATTTTGAAAAATGAAAAGATCAAAATTCATTTAAGAAAAATTAATTAAAAATACATTTGAAATAAGTTCATAAGAGTTTATAAATCAATTTCCTCAAATAGAATTGATCGAAAAACTCGAATTTCACAACTTTACGCATCGTTAAGACTATAAAATATTGCTATATATTCAATTAAATCTCTTTAACTTATAAATGTTTTTTTATCTATTAAGTATATGAATTGAAAAATGATACCGTTTAATATATATATATATATATATATATATATATATATATATATATATATATATATATATATATATATATATATATATATATATATATATATATATATATATATATATATATATATATATATATATATATATATATATATATATATATATATATATATATATATATATATATATATGGACATACTTAAAGGGATTAATTAACATGTTTGGATTCTGATTTATGCTTTTATCTTAAAAGAATAGAAAAAGTCAGAATGAGAATTCATTAATGACGTAGAGAAGTCACATGGCCTAACTTTGGTACATTAGCATATTTTGTCTAATGAACTAACTTCATGAACTAGAAAAATTAATTTTGATTAAAAGACAAACATTATATTAAAAAATGATTTACTTTTGGCACAAAATAAGTGATTTTTTTGGTATTGGTCACCAAGCTCCAAAGGGAGTACGAAACTGTCCAAGCCTATATTAAATGTCCACAACTGCTTTTGGTGTCCTTACCTTAGTAAGATGACCAATGCCAACAGTTGAATCAATGATCTTAAAAGCCTAACACAATTGTCCTTCCCTTTACTTTCACTTCAACCCAGATCAAAAAGAAAAAAACACTCATACTATTGTTCTGTTTTTTAAGAATCATAAAGCATGAGATTCTCAGCAGGTTATTTAGTCTTATCATTGGTGTTGGTAATAGAAGCAGCAACATGTTCCACATTTTTCACCAGAGAAAAAAAGCTATCAGAGTTCAACCACAAACTTGACCAAACATCATCTAATCCTTCACAAACAAACACAGTAAGCAATTTATCTATATGTACATTGAACTATGACTAGTGTTTTCTAACAATTTGTAACTTGTTTTTGTGTGCATTACTAGAGTAGTAAGAGGGTGTTGTACCCGAGTGAATATGGCGCAGACCCAACAGGATCAGAAGAGAGCAGTGATGCGATATTGAAAGCTGTGGAGGATGCATTTAGGTTGCAAAAGGGTCTTGAATTGGTAGCGGGTGTGAAGGATTTGGGAGGTGTTGTTATTGATTTGGGAGGTGGAGATTACAAAATCAGTAAACCCATTATTTTTGCCCCAGGTGGTGGCAATGTTGTGGTTAGTATATCTCTTTCATCATCTTTTTCTATCATACATTTTCTTAACAATCATACACATCTCAATGCGACATTTACACAAGAAAATTAACAAGTGATGATACATTCTAAAGATTTAGTTTTCATTTCTTTAATTAAATAAATATATTGAAAGATCTCTTTAAAAAGTATCACACAATAAAAAAAACAGAAAATAAAATAAAAAACAATTAATATGTAAAAAAAATAAAATTGTAGGTGTCCTTTTTTTTCAACTTTTGAGTTAGGCTGACGCGACCAAACATGCACGACATGCCGCGTGTTTACCTGTATATCACTTTTCTCTTTACGACAAAAAAAAAATATTCGTCTCTTTTAAGTTATTATTATTTAATTAATTGTACGATATTGTATTTTTAAGTTATTGTGTTTGTATACCACCAACTATCCATTTTTACGAATTTCTTTAAAAAATATACTTTTTTTTATATGTATTATTGACATGGCACCTTAGAAAGTACATCTCCACATTTCTTTGCATCTTAACTTTATGAATTGCCTCAACAAGAACAAAAACTTTATGAAAAGTATGACGATCGTGAACAGGTTAAAGGAGGAACCTTAAGAGCATCTGATACTTTTCCTGGTGACCGACATCTAGTTGAGCTGTGCTCATCAAATTCCAACAAACTCAACACAGTAGAATCCATGCAAACTGGTAACCTCAGTGACATAAAGACAGAAAACAATGGCATTTACTATGAAGACATAACTTTCAGGGACATCCTCTTTGATTCAACCTACCGAGGAGGAGGAATTTACATCGTTGATTCCGCTAGAATCCGAATCAACAACTGCTTCTTCCTGCATTTCACCACAGAAGGAATTCTAGTACAGAAAGGACATGAAACATTCATATCAAGTTGTTTTCTTGGACAACACTCAACAGTTGGTGGTGACCACGGTGAGAAGGGCTACTCGGGGGTCGCTATTGATCTTGCTAGTAACGATAATGCTGTCACGGATGTTGCCATTTTCTCAGCAGCCATCGGTATTGTGCTAAGGGGCCAAGCTAATATTCTATCAGGTGTGCATTGTTATAACAAAGCAGCAGCATTTGGTGGTATAGGTATATTAGTGAAACTAGCAGGAAATTCTCTAACTAGAATCGACAACTGTTATATGGATTATACCGGTATAGTAATGGAAGACCCTGTTCAAGTTCATGTCACTAATGCCCTATTTCTCGGGGATGCTAATATTTTACTGAAGTCGGTTAAAGGTCAGATTTTGGGCTTGAATATAGTTGATAATATGTTCAATGGCGATCCTAATAAGAAGGTTCCGATTGTAAATCTAGATGGGCAATTTAGTAATGTTGAACAAGTTGTGATTGATAGAAACAATGTAAACGGTATGGGGTTGAGATCAACGGTTGGGAAGTTAACTGTGAGCGGTAACAGCACGAAATGGGAGGCTGATTTTTCATCGGTTTTGGTTTTTCCTAATCGGATTAGTCATGTTCAATATTCATTTTATGCTCAAGGGGAGCCAAAATTTGTAGCGCATTCTGTTACCAATGTGTCGGATAACGTTGTAGTTGTGGAGAGTGATAAAGAAGCTAAAGGATCAGTCTTCTTCAGAGTTGAACAATAAGAAAAAAAGCTAATAGTGTACAATTGTACATCTATGATAATAAATGTGCTACTATCTTATATCTAGTCTATTCTTTATGGTTGGAAATGTAGAAAATGAAAAGATAATGGAGGAAAGAAGGTGACAAAATCATAGTCATCCCACTAGGCATTGTGCATAAGCAACTTGCACATAATCTAAAACTACACATATTTGTCTTCGAAATTAGTGGCTAAGATAATGGAAAAATTGACTATAAACAATAAGAATAATTTAATGTTAGGTAAGTCAACACTTGAGTCTTCCATCAAAAGCCTTTGAAGTTCAAAGAGTGAAATTGAATATGGTAAGGCTTTATCAAGTCATCAATAAGCACGGCCTCACACTTTTTCATGATTAGGCCATAGCAAAAAAGGGTTTCCATACTTAAAAAGAGGCCTACACTAAAAAAGATACAGATGATTGTAGTTCAGACAATATTCTTATTCTTCCAAACATGCTAGTATATTACAAATATTGCAAGTATAGTATCATTTGAAATCAATGTGAGTATGACAAAGTCATGGTAGCACTCTGACTAAGTCTAACTCTATCAATCCAAACATGCACTAAATAGAAGAAAAAAAAACATAAAAATGTTCAATTAAGTGGTAACACTCACAAGACACAACACTAAACAATGAACTCATGAAAAGAAAAGAACAAAGATGCAGGGTTTGTACTACAAAAGATAAACAAAAAACAGAAGGAAGTGAATGAGAATGAGAAGCTTATTCCAAACCCAGCCATTCAAGATACTCCTAGATGCCCCTGAATCCGAACCACCTGAACCCGAACCGGCCGAACCACTTGGTGCTACTGAAAACAAATAAAAAACAAACAAAAACATCATTGACAACCAGAAAATAATTTCACATACCAAAAACACAATTTGTAACTAACTAATTAACTAACCAGCACAAGTGTTTTGAGTTGCAAGAACGGTAGAGATATTGCGAGAAGTATAACCAGCGTAATCACAAAATGTCCGATTACACGAATCAGTAACCGTAGTATTCCCAATCAACACATTCCCAGAGCATTTCGCAGACGGACAAACCGACCATTGATTTATCGATTTTAGTTTCGACTCCTCACATTGTAACATTGAATTGTTATTACCACTTCCAGTAGAGTCACATTTACATTTCACACAGTTATTTGCAGTATAGAAATAAGTCCCTTTTGGTACAAGCAACGGAAAATCCACCGAATTGTTTCTCACATTTGTGTTACAAACTGCACAAATCAAACAAACACATACTTCCTTCATTCATTCATTGGTTCTAATTTACTAAGCGCACACACCAAACACAGCGACACCACACCGATAATAATTTAAAAAAACAAATAAATTAAACGTAATCACAAGTGTCCGTGATACGTAGGTTCTAATCAAGTTAAGTCGAGATAGATAAACTTTTTACCTGGAAGAGGAACATCTAGAACTTGACCGGCTTTAAGTGTTTTAGGATCATTAATACCGTTGATTGAGAGAAGAGTTTGTGATGTTGTACCATATTTTTGAGCAATGATATCAATGCTACTACCAGGTTCCACAAGATGTGCATAGTGCATCACACTGCTGTCATCCACCCTATCACAGCTACAAGGCAAAGGAATCCAAAGCGTATCACCAGCGGTAATATTGTTAGCATCTGGTATCTTATTAGCGGTTTGGATCTGTTGATACGTCATCAAACCAGCAAAACGAACCATCGCTATTTGGCTTAACGTGTCACCTGGTTTTATCTTGTACCGCGGTAAATTGTTGGATTTACCGGTTCCTTTACCGCATTTGCAGGGAAAGGGAACCTTGATGACTGTGTTGGGGGATACTTTGTAAGTGTTTTTGGTGTCAGATGGGAGGTTGTTGGCTCCGAGGAGGTCGAGGAAGTGTTTTACGCCGAACAGGGTTTCGATTTCCTTTAAGGTTGTTGTGTTGGTGGAAGTGTAGTCTGTTAGACTGCGACACGTGGCGGCTTCGGCGGAGCAGTTGAAATTTGCTTCTGTTTGAGCTTCTGTTAGTGTTGTTGACAGTAAAGTGGCTACTGTTACGGCGAGTAACCAGACAGGAACCATCTTGTTCGTTTCGATTGTTTCCTGTTTTGGTTTTTCTTATCTTGTGTTGTGTTGTTAATGTTTGTTTTTTTATAGGGGGAGGTGTAACTAAGTGGGGGCGTTGGGTTGGGTTCATTCAATTCACATTAGAGGTTTTTTGGTTTGGTCACAGAGCATTACAGTAGCTCTGTGAAGAACGGGTTTGTAATGTTAGAATTGACTTTGACTCAGAAAGTTGGATGTTAGAAGTAGAACGGTCAATGTTAACATACGTTTATACAATTTTACTTGAATCAGATTCTGAAAATCATGTGTTGAAGGAGTTTTTGATAATAAGAGGATCAAACATTGTGAGACTTTCTTTATTGTAACTTACTACTAGTCAAGTCACTAGAAGTAGGGCCACCATTTTTAGTCTTGACAGCATAGCTGTTGTGGATGGATAGGAAAATTCATGGAAATTGCTTAATTATTGCTCATGGATTATTATTACATGACTCGGTCAATTGTTTGTATTTAATTTTCAATGACTTGTATTAAACTTGTCTTAAGGTTCTAATTTTTCTAAGAAAATTATGGACTTTTATGAAATAAATAAATAAACTAAAATTACTATTTATATTTTACTTTAATTTTATGAAAGTTTTTATCCTATTCATTTTTACATCAGAATACTTGGTCTATATGTTGATCTTCTTTCTTAAAAGACCAATAAAAAAGTTTACAAATGCTTATTTTTTCGAAGATACTTTCATCTACTTAAATATATTAAAAAAGAACATTCATAAAAAAAATCATCGGGATATGTGAAGATGTAAATGAATTTCATGATTACTAAAAATATCGTCTTATAAAAAGATAAAGAAAATTCAATTATAAAAAAAAAAATCCTATTTTGACACCCTTTCCTACACCCTATACATACACTGTATGCACTGTTCACCGTATTTATACGGTGAACAGTGTTTTTTTATTAAAATAATATAATTTTTTAAAATATTAATTTTTATAAAAAAAATATTTATTTTTAAAATTTATTTTATAACACAAATATAAAATTACGCATTAACCAACTTTACAGTTGCATTAACCACAAAAATCTACATCATTAACCAATTATTTTATCTATAATTTATTAACCACTTTCACTACTTCATTAACCAATAAAATACATACCATTAACCATGTTCTGAGCATTTTTTTCATATATTTATGAACAGTAAATTGGGTGTAAGGTGTAAGAAAAAGTGTAGGAATAACAAACCTGTTATAAAAAATAATGGAATCATGAAGTAATAACTATACTTGTAATATATGTTATTTTATCCCATCAAAAGAAATAATTAGAAGAAAATCTTGAACATGTGCGTCTTACAAATACTTAAAAATTGTTTTTTGTGTTGTGGTATTAGGATGATCCCAAGTCTTACATTAGAAAGACTTAGAGCATGATTTATATAGAATGACACTTCTTACCTTACAAGTCGATTTTTAAATCCGTTTTAAAAAGATAAGTTAGGTCAAACTCTAATATAGTATCAGCGCATATCAATCGGACATGGGACCTTCCACCGTTTAAATCCACACACCAAACCCAAAAGAGTGTTAGGTGTGAGGGGGTGTATTAGAAAAATCTTAAATCCCATATTGAAAATGTGAGATATTGGATCGAACTCTAGTATGGTCGAACGGTAGCTTCTGGTTCGACAGAAATTAAGCATGAGGTCGAAGTCTGTTCATATGTTGCTGTCGGAGTAATGCGTGTTGTAGTCGAAGTTTGTTCTAACATGCATTAGTAAATATTGCTAGATTTGTTAGCATATTGAATTGGGTCTTACTTGTAAGCACAATTGTTTAAGTTAGCTTGTACCATAAGGTAACTTATAATGGGTAATTGTTAAAAAAGTTCATTAGGTTAATGTGTTATTTTTCTTATAAATAGGATGTTAGTCTCTCATTTTGGCATAAGAAAAAATAGGAAGATAAAATCCTAATTTCAAGAGAGAGAGGTTATTTTGTTATTCTTGTATACTTGTAATCTTGTTCTAAGAGTAATGAAAGAATAACAGTTTATAATCAATCCTTGTTGTTCCTTGTTGTTTTACCTTGTTATCTTTGTTAACTCTAACCCTTGTGCATTTTTTTATCATAAAGAAATCGTTTATACTTTGTTTCAAGGTATCCGATTCACAACAAATTGGTGCGGTGAGCGTGGAGAATATGCCTTCAACAAAGTATGAGATTGAAAAGTTCACCGGAGTGAACAACTTCAGTCTGTGGCGCTTGAAGATGAAAGTCCTACTGGTTCAGCAAGGTTGTTTGGAAGCGTTGAAGGGAGAGGTAGCCATGAACGCTGCGTTAACGGAAAAAGTAAAGACAGACATGATTAAGAAATCCCACAACGCAATATTGTTGAGCCTTGGTGATAAAGTTCTTCGACAGGTTTCAAAGGAGACTACAACATCAGGATTATGAGTGAAACTTGAAAGTTTGTACATGACCAAATCTCTGGTGAATCGAATATACCTAAAGCAAACTTTATATTCATTCAAGATGAGTGAAGACAAAATATTGACTGAGCAGTTGGATATGTTCAATAAGCTGATTCTTGATCTTGAAAATATTCATGTGAAGATCGACGATGAAGATCAAACACTGTTGCTGCTGTGTGCTTTGCCCAGAACACATGCTTACTTCAAAGAAACTCTCTTATATGGAAGGGAGTCCCTGATATTTGAAGAAGTTTAATCAGTCTTGTATTCTAAGGACTTGAACAAACGAAAGGAGCATAAACCTTCGACGATGGGCGAAGGTTTGACCGTTAAGGGAAAATTCTTGCGAAAGGATGGTAAGTTCGACAAGAAGAAAGGTAAAAAGTCAGCAGAAGTCTTATAGTGGTGAAACATCTGGTATTCGATGTTATCACTGTAAGAAGGAGGGTCACACAAGAAAGGTGTGCCCTGAACGCCTGAAAGATCATGGAGGTAATGGCAACACATCCATTATTCAAGATGATTTCGACTCATCTGATGTTCTTGTGGTTTCAAGTGGGACTCAAGAAAAGAGTGGATTATTGATTCAGGTTGCACTTGGCACATGACTCCAAACAGAGAATCGTTTGAGGAGCTATGTGATCAAGATGGTGGATCTGTGCTGCTGGGAAACAACAAATCTTGCAAAATTACAAGTATTGAATTTGTGAGATTCAAGCTCCATGATGAGTCAATAAGGTTATTGATTGAAGTCAGGTATTTTCCCAACTTGAAGAGAAACTTGATTTCTCTTGGTGAATTCGACAGAAAAGGATATGTTTTTTAAGGAGAGAAAAGTATCCTAAGAGTCATGAAGGGGTCGAATGGAGTCTTGAGAGGCGTGAAGAAACAAGGCTTGTATACCCTTGAGGCTGGGATTGTAAGTGGTTCGACAAATGTTACATCCATGAAACCTGTGTCGAGGACAAAATTATGGCACATGAGATTGGGCCATGTCAGCGAAAGAGACCTGATCGAATTGGGGAAGCAAAACCTGCTAGGAGGTGACAAAGTCGAAAAGTTAGAGTTTTGTGAATCTTGTGTATTTGGTAAATCCTGTAGGGAGAAGTTTAACAAAGGCAAGAAAAGAACACATGGATCTCTGGATTACATTCATGCTGATCTTTGGGGGCCTGCAAGGAATCCTTCACACTCAGGTGTAAGGTATTTTCTATCCATCATTGATGATTATTCATCTAGAAGACGAAGGATGAAACTTTTGAGAATTTCAAAAGTTGGAAGGTTTTGGTCGAAACTCAAACTAGCAGAAAGATTAAAAGGTTAAGAACCGACAATGGTCTTGAGTTCTGCAACAAAGCGTTCGACAATTACTGTGTTGAGTCTGAGATTGCAAGGCATAAGACTGTAGCAGGTACTCCTCAACAAAATGGCTTAGCTGAGAGATTCAATTGAATAATCCTTGAAATGGTTAGATGAATGTTGGTTAGTGCTAGATTGAAGAAAGTGTTTTGGGCGGAGGCTGTTTCGACAGCAGCTTATCTGATAAATAGATGTCCCTCGACTGCCTTGGGAATGAAAACACCTGAAGAAGTTTGGTTGGGACGTCCACCTAGTCTCGACAGACTGAGAGTATTTGGTTGTGTGGCCTATGCTCATATTAGGCAAGACAAGGTCGAGCCTAGAGATCTGAAATGCATGTTCATGGGATACCCTGAAGGAGTCAAAGCTTATAGGCTATGGTTCCTAGAGCCAGGTCATATGAGGTGTATCACCAGTCGAGGTGTAGTTTTCAATGAAGCAGAGATGGCTTTCAAGAAAACTGATGATGCTGACGAAGAGCTGGAATAGGGAGAGATTCCTGTTGAGGTGGAACATGTTGATGCTGAATTCCGTACCCCATATGAAGTCGAAGAAGACGCATAAGATGTTGTCGAAGATGAGGAGACTGATAATGACTACCTGCTAGCAAGAGACAGGTCGAGGAGAGTTATCAAGCCACCTCAGAGACTTGGGTATGCAGATTTTATAGCTTATGCCTTAACCTCTGCAAGTGAGGTTCTAGATGGAGAACCTAGAGACTATAAGGAAGTTATGAGGAGTCGAATGAAGGCTGAATGGATGAAGGCCATGGATGATGAGATGAAATCTCTTCATGATAACAATACATGAGAACTAATTAAGAAACCTATTAGATCCAGGTTAGTTAGTTGTAAATAGATTTTCAAAGTTAAGAAAGGAATCAAAAGAGTGGCGTCGAAGAGATACAAAGCAAGATTGGTCGCTAGGGGGTTTACTCAGAAAGAAGGTGTCGACTTCAATGATGTGTTCTCTCCTATTGTGAAGCACAAATCCATTCGAATGCTGCTTGCCACAGTGGCACAGTTCGACCTTGAACTAGAATAGATGGATGTGAAGACTGCGTTCTTGTATGGTGATTTAGATGAAACAATCCTGATGAGGCAACCTGAAGGGTATGTCGAAAGGGGGAAGGAAGATTATGTGTGAAAACTGAAGATATCTTTATATGGA